CCCCACCAGCTGCAATTGTTTAAGGAAATATTTGTTGAAATTAACTGTGATCTCTTTTTGCATGTTAAATCAAAGAACCATCTCCCTTTTCCTACAGCTACAATGAGAGTCTCTCTCAAATGTGATGAGACATATATTTTTATTTTTTTTGTTATGAGTATTTTTCTCCTCCTTTCTTCTCCTTTTCTTTCAGAGGCTTTGTCTCTTAGTTTGTGACTCTGAGTTCCAATTTCTTCATCTTACTTTTTGACTGAAATTGCTTCTGTCAGTCCTATCGGCGCTCCTTTCTTGGAGCCGTTCTAAAATGAAACACAAAGCCAATATGTTCAATATGAATTTTTGAGTGCCTAGGCCTCAAAGTAGGTTTAAAATTGAGTGAAATGACTTCTCATTTTCCTATGAGATGCTGGTGTTTTGGAGGCACATTGCGCTATTTCTTAGCGCATAAAGAAGGAGTGGAGGATGTCTCACAGACTAAGAAATCTTTCTGTTGTTACAGGAAAAAAACCAAAGTCTGAGAAGGATGACAAATTCAAACAAATTAAGGTAAGAAGTGGCTATTCAGTTGTGTGAGAGCTTGTAAAAACATTCTGTCGCAAATTTTTTTTAATAGATCCAACAGTATTTTGTGGTGGATATTTGCAAATCTCCCGTACTTGTGGTTTCCTTAAGTAGCTTCGGTTCCATTGGGTGTTTGATTTTTTTTTTTTTTTTTTAAAAAAACGTGAAGCCTTTTGCAGTTGTGACTGACATCATCAGCTGACACAGCCCTTGTGTTGCAATGCTTGGAGGTTGGAAAACTGGCAGTCTTGGCAATAGATTTGCCATTTGTTTGTCTGTGTAAGTAGAAATAAAGTAATTATGGAAGGAATGCTTCTGAACAATGGAACTACCTTTTGGAGCAATTAATTTGTGTTCATAGTGTGTTGGAAATTCATTTTCATTTAGGCAAGGGGGGAAGTTCTATGAGGGCTGCATGTTCTGCTCATATTTTCTAAGTTAGAATAACTCAGTTGTAAATGTCATTGCTCAGTATCTGCGATCTCTGCTTATTCAGGCATGGACCCAAACTCACATTTGTACTTCCTACAGAGCATGGCATTTCCTAGCTTTAGCAGTTCTGATGAGGGCCTTTTTGAGACGGTCAATCTTGAATAGTGTCAGGACTGGGACCTGCTTCAACTCTTTCAAAAAATAAATTGCAAAACTTTCGGACTTTCAAGTTTTGATAAAGTCTGTGTTCTTGGGTCTTCTGCTGAAATCTGGGATTGGATTTCTGAACCCACAGCCTGTAGTAGCGTGTAGTAGTGTCTATAACAGAACAGCAGCTCAGTCCTCTGATACTTGCTTGTCAAGGACTGTCATTCTCATGTCTGTGCGATGCAGTCCATGAAGGCAGCACTGAGTGCAGTGGCCAGCAGGTAGTCTAGGCCAGATGAGTGCTGAGGCATTTTTGAAAAAACTCCTTTATTAAAATTGGATTTGGAAGGAAGAAGCTCTTCTGGCAATCGTGACTTGTGTAATTACATGCCAGAATACTGCTTTATTGGTCTGTAATTTTAAGTTGTCTTTAAGGAACCACGTTTTAACCATGATATTTTGATTTTGTCGCCACATTTGTTTGTTATAATCTGACTCTGATCATAACCTGCATTCGGGGGAGCTACTACACTCTGTCAGAGCAGGGCAGCAGATGCCTTTTAAAGCTGGCAGCAGCACATTGCTGTTCCCCTCCTTCATAATCTTTCTTTTAGTAAAAATATTAAATACGTGAGAAGCCGTAGAGGTGCTTGAACAATCCTGTCCACTTCATTAAGATTAGTCTCACAAGTATTCATTGCCGAGGGAGTTCCAATGATGTCTGGGAGACTATTACTCGTGGCATTATACCTGGAAATAGGTGTCTGCAGGGAGATGCTCTCAGCTTTTGGGAGCACCTTCCTATAGCTCGACTGCCCTGAACTGCACAGAAGCTTTGTGGCAGCCGTAAACTGACCTGGCTGTGCTTCTAGTACATATGTATACTGGTGAGTGGTAACCTAGGTGCATATGCCAACTGCTAATTATGTTATGACCAGTTAGATCTTGTAGGTTTTGAGCTGGGTCCCAGCAGTATTCTTGACTGTTATCCATTATTCTGACAAATGTATACATGAGCTGACTTCCAAATATGCATTAGATTTTAAAATAGATACTTGTTCCATGCTCAGCCACTGTTAGCTATACTATTGAATATTGAAGGCAATAATAGTGAGGAAAGCTGATGGATGACTGATATAATGCAAATATCCATTTTTGAGCATTGAAACCTACTTATACTTTCTTTGCTTGGTGATGTGGATTCCTGAGATCCGAGTTCTCTGGTTTTTATTGAAAGCTTTGCAGTTATGTTGAAAAGCTCTGTTCAGTGAAGATGAGTGGGAGGCTGCTCCATGTTCTGCCTGTTAAATTCTGAGGGGGTAGCATGAACAGAGGGAGAAGCGAAGTATCAGAGGGCAGATCTACAAAGGGACTAGCATAACAGTGTCTAACGTTAAGCTCCGTTGTGTAGCTGCTGCCAGACTCCGTGGGCACCTAACGCCCTAATGCGACTGCTGATGGGGTGAACAATGCTACCAGACCTCGCTGAGCGGAGTGATGATGCTGGGCTTGAGCAGGATGCTCAGTCAGGGCACTTCCCTGCTCATCCCCTCTGCGGAGGTGAGACCTGGACTGTACCAAATCCCTGTCCCACATTAGACAAGGGCAGTCCACCTTGCAGATAAGTGTCTCCCACTTTGCATAAAAGTGTCCTAGCCATTCGACTATTGGTCAGATGGGGCCTTTCTGTTGGAGCATGAGTACTTAGCAATGGGAAGAGGCCATAAGTGTTTGAGTAGCTCAGATAAATATAGAATATATGTTCCTTTGAAACAAAGTTAAGAGCTGAGCTGCCTGCATGAGGCTTAAGTTCCGCCTTGTCCAAGATGCTGCCTGCTGACTGTGCATGCAGCTCCCCATTCAGACCTTTTTTAAGCTAAGTGGCACCTTTCCCCGTGCATTTAGCTTAGGCTTCCATCAGGCATTTGGTCACAGCAAAGTTAGGTGATTTAACACTGACTGTGGCAGTGTCCAAGTCCCTTTGTGGATCTAGCACCATCACCTGAGTTCTAAGATATGTTTTTGTTTCTGCAGCTCTAAAGGGGCTACCAAAATAGCCTGTTTTATAACTAGGCCTTAGTAAAACTGAGCAAGTTACTCTGCCTGCAGCGTTCCCACGGGGGCTGCTGCGTTGGCCAAGGGTTTTCAGGGGCATTGCGCAACACTGGAGGCTCAGGGCCCCTAATCTGTCTCTGCAGTCTGTGATCCGTGATGAATCAGTGGGAGCTAATTTTATCTTTTCCAGCTTTGTATTGGATACCTGAACTCTTTGACTTGTGGGTTAACACAACCAATGTGGCTTATCAGAGACCTGACTGCCATTATGCTGAAGCTCCTTTGCGCTCTTCTGATTTGCAAAGGGGCCCTGGAACAGGGCATGTGTATTTTAGCCTTGCTTTTAATGGCTGGAGAGGAACTGACTTGTGACAAAGTGACAGCTCTTCTTGAATTGGTTGCAATTGCAGTGTGTGGCATCCAGAAAACAACTGTCACACTGTCCCTACAGCTTTTGTCCCCATGAGAAAGGTTTATAGGGTTAGTACAGTGAAGGACTGGCATCACAAGACTTGAGGCTTGCCTTTGCCCTACGCTTGCTGAAGTATTTTAGACTGGTGAAAATGGGCACAACACGCCATCAGATCAGACTGGCAGTTCTGCCCCTCTCTGCAGATATCTCTAGGTCAACAGCGATGCAGGACTTCGCTTTCGACGTTGGCGTTATTGGCCCAGAATAAGAGCAGAAGACTTTAGACTTTGTACCTGATAGTCCTTGTCAGGGAGCCAATAAAGGGGAAGAGGCTGGAAATTTGTAGTTAATCCTTTAAAAATGTTCATAGTCTTTTAAAGAAGTCCTGAAATTATGGAATTAGAACTTTTGCTGTGTATTCTGAAGGGAGTTTCTTAGATCTCCGTCCGAATGTAACAGATGCATAGAAATGCATCCTGTGGACAGCTCAGTGTATGTAGAACAGGTGATGTTTTCCCAACACTGTTGCCCTATGGTAATGTTTATGATGTGATCTAAAAGGCTGTATTTAGTGTAAACACTTTGGTTTGCTTTCAGGCTTGCTGCAGAGAAAAATTAAGGCTAGAATTTAGTAATTACTGTACAGAAGCTAAGGCTTCCTTTCAGGGAGCGCTAACTAGAACGCTGTTTTAAAGCAATGTTTCTTCCTTGTTTGTTCCAAATGTTAATCTCTTGTAGTAAATAGCACACTAATTTCTTGCTCTCTGAAGGCTCACTCTAAATCTGAGAATTAAAAATGACTTTAGTTTCAGAGGGGAAGATTTGGAAATGGAATAAACTGTGGCTTCTTCTCAGAGAACCAAAATGTTCGTTTTAGTACTATGTTTAACAGGGAGCAGGGTGTGTGTGTCAGGCAGAAGTGATTTGATTTATTATCATCTCAGAGCAGAGAGATGAATTGAGTCCAGGCTCCTAAAATAAATCAAACCTGACCCAACTGTACTGTTTTCATTCTAGCAAGAGCCAGTTGAATCATCTTTTGGGATTAATGGGCTAAATGATGTCACTTCTGACTATTTCCTGTCCTCCAGTATAAAAAATGAAGTTGACAGTACAGTGAACATTGTAGGTAAGTACTCCTATGCTTTTCATATGTGCTAAGCATACAGGTGACTTAAAACACAATTTCCCGAAGTAGGTGGTATCAGAATGACCCTTTTGACTGTGCCAAACTGACCTTTCCAGCAGCGTTTTGCCTTTTAAGGAACAACACGGTTATAATCATGGCCACGCTTTTTTTGCTAGCCCAGCCCATACGAGGTGCTGGTTGCAAGCCAGCCCCATGGCCTCGCAGAGGTGGTGAGCGGCGCTGCTGCGGCACGGTGCTTCCCCCGAGAGCCAGGGCCTTGCCAGCCTTTTCAGGTGGCTTTTCCTGGCGTTAACTTGCTCCACAGAGTGCTGCTTAGCTCAGAGGGGATTTTAGCTGGCATCGCACAGGAGTTACGCTGGAGTTAGATCGCTGTTTCCCATTGCTCCAAGAAGAGCTGTGTGTAGGGTGCCATTTTATTTGTGATTTTAAATGTTTATATGAAATGGAGGAACTTAGTTCTTTGTACTGGTACCTCAGTAGCAGAGTTAGTTCTTAACATCACAGAGCTAACAGCAGAGATCAGTGAAGACTGTATTTAGAAACTGGTACGCTAGGAATTAGCTGTCATCTCGGAGCGTGAATAATTGGTTCTTGGTAGAATAATTGGGCTGTTTTTGACAGCTCTTTTTTTTTTTTTTTGGCTAAGGTTGTCAATGCAGTGAGGGCTCCTAGAAATGTGACCCATATACTACTTTCTCTAGAATTCCACTTTTCTGCATACAGAGGAGGTGTTTGAAAACTATGTTAATCTTATGTTTGCAGAGATGGTAGATATTATGTGCAGTGACTGTTTTTGATGTCCACTTCTTAGGTCACAGGCCTCTGTGTAAAGTCATTCCCCTCGAGTATTTTTATGGTTGAGGAGTTTGAGTACTTTTCCTCTCTTTATGGCAATTTATTTAACCAGCCCTTGCTTTCCTGAGAATATTAGGACATGGTTTTTGCTCCTACTGTTAAAGAGGGTTTTATAACTTGAAGGAATAGTGTGGTTTATTTCCTGACTAACTTAAAACTAAATCTGAAATGCCCCAAGGCTGACACACAGCCCTAGGGAAGAAGCTTCATACACTGTTGCTTTATTTTACTGCCTTAAAGTCAAACAGGGATCAGTTAAAACAGTCTTTAGAACATATCTGATGTTATCCAAAATCCACTGACATCAGTTGAGAGTCATTTTGCTGCAGACAGCTTGGTTTTCTGCAGGAGAGCATATCCTGAACTCCTGTTTAATGTTATTATGAGATGAATGCATCTCAGTAATTTACAGGACAGGACCCGTAACAGCAACATCAACATACGAGAGCAGTCAGAGGTTTACCATGAAATCCAAGCAACGTCTTCAGAGGAGCAGAGCTGAATTTGCACGTTACAGGATTTCATTTTCCCTTGGACTCGCAGGGGAAATCTCTGGCTAGCTTCTTCTTCCTTTGCCCTGTGGATAGGCTCCAAATCCACTTTCTGGAGCAGAACGACAAGGATTGGGTGTGTAATTGTGATCCTCTGTTGCGTAATTAATAGCTTATGAAGTGTGCTGCTTATCCCAACTGAAGAGAGAAATCCTTATTTAGCACTCCGAGCAGGTTTTTAATATAAGCCGGGGGAAAAAAGGCAAACTAGATTAACTCTGCAGAAATGAGGAAAGTCAGCCGGAAGGAGGAAGAACAGAAACAGCACCTGCGATGTTTTCTGCCATAGTACATCTCAAGGAAAAGCAGTTGCGTTTTGCCCAAGTGAGGAATATTTTTTGCTGCACTGAGGTTATCTCTTGGGGTGGGTAGGAATTCTTCAGGTATCGAGGAGAAGGGTAAAAAGATGGCCTGCTCTTACCATGACGGTGTGGCACAATTCTGATTTCTCCCTGATAAAAATGAACAGCGTTAGAGAGGTGGGAAGCAGTGTTTCCTCCTCCGCTCAATAAAAAGCAGATCGTCTCAGAGCCAGGAAACGGTTGGTTACAGTGAAGATGAAATGCCTAGAGCAAAATGGTAGTAATTGTAGTGATTAGACTTCTTTTTTAAAAAAAAAAAAATTAGGTACTCAGCAGTCTATTTGTTGGAGTTGCCTCATGAGATACACATCCAGGTTTGGGGTAGTTCCCAGTAGTTACTCAGCACTTTACAAAGCAAAATGAAACACAGCTTTTCCCTGGGAGAAAAACCTGCTACTTTCTTTTTCAAGAAGTTTTGTTCTAGCCTAGTCTCAAGATAACAAGGCAGAATGGTTTGTGTACATATGCATGTGTATTCATGTACACGTATCTTAGTTCATGCAGGAAAAGATTTTATCTTCTGCTTTTCTTTAAATCTCTTTATTAATAATCAGAATAATTAGATCACTTAACAGAAGAATGTCAAGAGCTGCTGTGTTTCATTGCCTATGTTTTCCTACGTCATGGGCCCAGAAATAATATTCTGTCTGAATTTCTACTGACTCAGTACTATGTAGCTTGGTGAATTAACTATCCTGTCCTTTGAAACATCCAATATTGGTCGCTTCCAGAATCATATTACCAAGTGGGATGGACATAAGATCCTATATAAAACTTACATAGGTCCTAGGGTTTTACATAGGTCCTATGTAAAACTTAGGATAGGCCACCGCATGCATTATTGTATAGTGCTTTTAAGACTAGCAGCAGTTCACAACATGCAAATACATCTGAAGCAGTTTCTTTAGTACAAAATCTTTCTGAACTTTGGTTGAAATTGGCAGGAATTTACCTGTGTGAAGATTGCTCCTGTGTTCCAGTGAAAGAATAGCTATAGTTCTTCCTTTTCTCTTGGATAGTTTTGTGTTCTGGTTAGTCATCCTGTGAGATGGCACCATGCCTATGTGCTGTTCCTGTTTAGTTAGTGACTGTCAGCTCAGCGCTGGATTAATGCAGTTGTCATGTGTTCATACTGCTGGGGTAAAAAAAAAAAAAAAAAAAAGGGAGCTGTACAACACAGAGGAAATTGTCTCAAGCAGCTTTAGAGATCTGAGGTTCTGGCTTTCAACATAGTTTTGCTTTGTCCATTAACCTACTGGTACCTCAGGTTATTCCACTGTTTCAGAAGGTTGTTGTGTGGCACGATTAATGTCTGGAAAGCGTTTTGGGACGCTTGCCAAGCACCCATGCTGCCTTCCTTTCATTGAAATAAATAATGTTAATTTGGTCTTAAACATCATGTGCCTGGGGGAATAGGAAAATCCTCTGTTAATAACTAACCAGACCTTAGCTTTCAGTCACAGACCATGGGTATTATGGACTACAGGTACGACCATATTTTTCTACATGCCATCACTGGCAGTGCAAGGATTTGTGACAACAAGCATCTGTTTGGAGGATCATTCTTGACAGATTCATGCCATATGTAAATCAGATTTCCACCAGGTATTACGTGGCCAGTTGTTTGCATGCTAGTTCTGACCCATTTGCTCTTATGGTGCCGAATTCACATCAGAGCACCTAGAGTCCATGGGGCGTTGGCAGCTTGCTGGGTGGTGACACTCTCTGAGATTTGGAGGGGAAATTTGCAGCCACTAGTTCAAAGCCTCACTAGTCCTAGCAAGTGATGTTCTGGTCAGCCTGGCGTTCGCCAAGGTCTGTATGTCCTGGCGAGACCCCATTTCTGGGTGAATCACAGAATCGTTTAGGTTGGAAGGGACCTCTGGAGATCATCTAGTCCAACCTCCCTGCTCAAGCAGGGTCAAGGAGGAAGGAGTGAAGGAGGGTGAAGGAGGAGCATGGCTGTGAGCTTCCTTATGAAAGCATCTGGACAGCTGGTGTGTCATGGGAGAGCTCAAAGGACATGTTTCCCAGGAGAGCCAGGGGAGAGTTTGGCATTTCCAGTGGTCACAAGTGGAAAGGAAATTTCTTTGAAGGTGATAGAAACCAAATAAATCACACAAGTTTCCTTTAGAAGTCCTACCGAAAGCAGATGGCTGTGGAAGAAAGTGCTGAGACTGAATTAAAGGCTCCAGGTTACTCAAATACCAACCAGTCCTCAAGGATAAACAATCCAGAGGTTCAGTAGGGTCAAGGCATTATGAGTAATACATTTTTTTTTTTCTTCTAACCCCAAGTTGTAGGACAGCCGCACCTTGATGGCAGCAGTGAGGAGCAGGTGATAGTTGCCAATCCTCCTGATGTTTGCCAGGTAGTAGAGGTGACAACAGAAAGTGATGAACAGCCCCTCAGCATGAGCCAGCTCTACCCCCTACAGATCTCCCCGGTTTCATCCTACGCAGGTAAGCATCCTGTTTTTCTTTTCACAGTTTCTGGGAAACGTTTGGAAGACGCTTGCCAAGCCAGGAGGCAGAGGTCACCACAGGGGAAAAGGGGGATATTCCAGGGTAGCTGACAAAGATTCGGAAACGTCTGTTCTGCTACTTTTCTTATTTTTAGTGAAACTTGAAAACTCATAGTCCTCTTTCTCCGTTTTACTCTGGGAAACGACTCAGCAGTACTTGATCTGAAGATGGAAACATATGCTGCAGTTTTTAGCCTGTGACTAATGGAAAAGAAATCTTTTTAGATATAGTGTAGAGAGGTCTTTGCATCTTTTATTGAAGGGGCATTTTTGATGGTACAAATGATATGCTGCAAATATGTTGTGTCTCCCTTGAACCCTGAGTTATTAAAGATCATCCCCTGAGGGCTCTGGAGGAGTGAATCTGTCTGTTACAAATAGTTTGCAGACTAGAACAGCCATGTAGTGACTGATAACAAGTGGTCCCATGAGCAGCAGAGCTGTGGAAGTCTGGCTTCTAATGCCTGTCTCCTCACCTCTTTTTAGAGATCAGAGAATTCAGATAGATAACAAGCCTTTCCCCAAGTCAGGGTACTAATGGGTTCTCTTCTTTATCTACTGCCTTATTTTCACAGAACTGGTAGGAAGTTAGAGTTTTTGGCACTTACCCTCGTCCAGGTTTGACAATGTGTTCATAAACTGTTAGGGGAGAACGGACACAAATGCACACACGAGCACACCATATAGAGCCCCTGCAATCGTAAAAGTCTTATTTCCATAGGAAACAAGGCAAAAACACATTTGAAAGTAGAAAACGTTTCAGATCCAACCTGTCCTTTCTTTTTTTTTTTTTTTTTTTTTTTTTAAACATGTTGCTAACTTGCAAGCCTCGGGAGACTGAGATAGAAACTGAAATGTCATCTTTTTAGGCAAACTTGAATATTAAATTGTTCCTTGTGTGATTTATTATTTTACACATGGTTTTGCCTTTGAATCATTAGGCTCAAATTACTTCCAGACACGTTTTTATAAAATATGTATATAAGAATTTTTATCTTTGGGCCAGGGGGAGTAGTATGATGTTCTTTTGAATTGCCTCCAGTGTTAGTCTGACAGATGTTGATGTATGATCATGCTTTCCCATGTGTTTAGTCTGCAATGGCCAGAGCATTTAGAAGGATTTGCAGAGTAAGGCGGGGTGGGGTAGGGGGTGTTTTAACGAATTAGCAGTGGGAGATGAGTCCTTTGTAACATTTGTTCTTTTTCCAAATGCTTCTTGCAAAATTTTTCCTGTATATGTAAACAGAGCAACAGTGCTTTTAACCTCAGCTAAAGGATCTAAGTACTTGAAATGCAAACAAAAGTCAGTACCTAGGTCCGGGAGTCAGGGTAGTTGTTGCTTGGGCTGTAACAATAAAGGGGGATGATCTGGTGACAGGAGAAACACCCTGACATGCACAAGTCCTGGGCTCCCTCTGCTACAGTCAGTGCAACAAACTAGCATAGAGAAAATGAAACATGACTGAAGTACTTCTGTTATCCCTTGATGTTGTCTGATTATCTTGCTGGCCTTCAGCTGACCTAACATATGTCAGGAGCTGCTAACCCATAACTGGGATAGAATAAAGATGATTTTATGCCACTGACATGCCTTTGAACGCATTTCAAGGCAGTTCCTGAGGTTCCTGGTAACTCTAGCTGGAGGCCAGTAAGAAGTGGAGTACCGCAAAGGATCTGTCCTGGGACATGTCCTGTTTAATATCTTTATTAATGACTGGAGGAGGTGGTGGAGTGCATGCTTATGAAATTTGCAGTTGACATGAAATTAGAGGCACTGGTTGATACGCTCAAGGGCAGAGCTGCCATCCAGAGGGGCCTGAGGAGGCTGCAGGAATGGGCCAGCAGGAGCATTATGAAATTCATCACGGACAATTGCAAAGGCCTAGGCCTGGAAAGGGAGAGCCCCATGCAGTGTTACAGGCTGGGGCTGACTGTCTAGCGAGCAGCTCTGCAGAAAAGGCTCTGGGAGTCCTGGTGGGCGGCGAGCAGAAGGCGAGCCAGCAGTGCACCCTGGCAGCAAAGACCAACAGCCTGCTGGGCTATATTAGCAGGATCACAACCAGTAGGTTGAGGGAAGCTGTTATCCCCTGCTACTCAACGCTTGTTAGACCACATCTAGAGCACTGCATGCAGTTTTGGGCCCCGTAGTACGAGAAAGACATCAACAAACTGGAGCAAGTTCAGGAGAGGGCCGTGAGGATGGTGGGCTGGGAGGAGAGATGGCTTTGGGGGGACCCAACAGCAGCCTGCCCAAACATACAGGGATGTTGTTAAGAAGACAGACAGGCTCTTCACAGTGGTGCACAATGAGAGTATGAGAAACAACAGGCATAAACTGAAACAAGAAAGGGTCTAACAGGATGAAAGGAAAAACTTTTTCACCATGAGGATAGTCAGGCAGTGGAACAAGTTGCCCAGAGAGGTTGTGCTGTCCCCATTCTCTGAGGTTTGCAGGACCGGACTGGATAAGGCCCTGAGAAACCTGGTCTGATCTTACAGCTGGCCCTGCTTCAAGCAGGAGGTTGTACTAGAGACCTCCAGAGTTCCCTTCCCACCTGAATTGGTCTATAAACTTCTTTTTAAAGTCTGCATTTGACTTTCAGGATAGGAGTGAGGATAGGGGTCTGCACAGTTTGGTGGAAGCCTGAAATTTGTGACTTGTGACTGCTTCTGGTTTTATCTTGCTCCGTGCAAATCCAAATAGGAGAACCACAGGAGCCCTGACTCTGTGTTCATGTGTTTGGTGGGCAGAATTGCTTACTCTTGTCAGGTGCTATTGCTGAATGGAAGGAAAGAGTTTGACCGTAACAGCTGTGCAGGAACAGTTAGTTTAGCTCTTCTGAAACAAAAAAGGAGCCTGAGGTATCAGCTGTCCTACATAAATCTGTTTTATTTCAAAAACACCTCTCATTCCTTTCTGAGGTTGCTCGGGCAAACGGTATGAGTGGCCCTTATGAGTTTCCTCATATTTCCACTAACGTCTTTAACATCCAATTTTTTAGTGCCTAGGCTGTTCTTGTCAACCTCATCTTGTGTTTGACAGTGATTCAAATAACCTCTCTAACTTTCCATACCCAAGTGGCCAGCTTCCCTGTCTTTGCTAACTATAGTGCTATCTCTTGCTCAGCATTTTATTATGTATAAACATCAAGGATGGATTCCTTTTCATCTGCATCACCCTTTTTTGTTGCCACATGTTTCTTCATGTCAAGAAATATCTGCTTCTTGTCTCTCTGTGGATTCCTTCTGTTGATTCTATCTCCAGGGCCATTTCTCCTTTTGTACAGATTACTTTCTGCCTTCTCTCTGCCTCCCCATAGTTTGGCTTATTTAGCCAACTTTATCACCTTGTCACGTCTCTCTCTATCTAGGCCAGTGAATGAGAAGCCCTGCAGAGTGTTAATTTTATAGGGCTTCACAGTTAGATGTAATATTTCAGGCAGCACCTCTACTTACTGCATGCTATAACTGAGACCCTGAATAGGGGAGGTGCTGGCTTCAGAAGCAATAGTCTTTGGTAGTTGAGCTGGTGGACAAGACGACCATGAGCCAGCAATGCGCCCTCTCAGCAAAGAAGGCCAATGGTATCCCGGGCTGCGTTAGGGAGAGCATTGCCAGCATGTCAAGGGAGGGTGATCCCTCCCCTCTACTCAGCAGTAGTGGGGCCACATCTGGAGTGCTGGGTCCAGTGCTGGGCTCCGCAATGCAACAGAGACATGGACATGTTGGAGCGAGGTCAGTGAAGGGCCACGAAGACAATTAAGTGGTTGGAGCCTCCCTCATAGGAGGAGAGGCTGAGAGAGCTGGGACTGTTTAACCTGGTGAAGAGAAGGCTCAGGAGGGATGTTATCAATATGTATAAATATCTGAAGGGAGAGCGTAAAGAAGATGGAGCTGGACTCTTGTAAGTGGTGCCCAGTGACAGGACAAGAGGGTGCAAACTGAAACACAGGAAATTCCATCTGAATATAAGAAAAAAAAAGATTACTGTGAAGGTGACTGAGCACTGGAGCAGGTTGCCCAGAGAGGTTGTGGAGTCTCCATCCTTGGAGATATTTAAAAGCCGTCTGGACACAGTCTTGGGCAGCCTGCTCTAAGTGACACTGCTTGGGCACAGGGGTTGGACTAGGTGATCTCCAGAGGTCCCTTCCAACGTCAACTGTTCTGTGAGTCTGTGAAGGTGGGAATGAGGTGTGTTGTGCAGAAGCATGGGGTAGGAGGTTAGCTGGGAGGCTGCTGGGGACAGTGAACGCTAGCTGTGGATGGGCCTTTACAGGGGAAAAGAGGAGTGTGTGTGTGCACGCACGCGTGTTCTGGTGGAGGAGGTGAGCAGTGTGCACAGAGGTGGGTGATGGGGCTATGGTACTCAGGAGATAACAGCATCTATATCTGCTTGAGTGGCGTGGAGGGTTGAGAAATATGCTAGGGGTCTGGGCAAGGGTGACAGAAAACAAAATGAGAGCAAGGTGTAACAACAGTCATAAAATGCAAGAAGTGACAACAAGCCCTTGAGGCAGCAGGTTGAGATAACAGTTCATGAAACAAAACCACACTTGTCTCTTCTGGGGTGGAGTTGCTCATTTTGCAGGGAGATAAAAATATGGATTTGGAAAGAACTTTACATTTAGCCAGGCCTCAAGCTGCCAAGACAGGGCAAGGGAGAGAGGGCGTTTCCTGCTTGCGGGACTCTGCACAGGACAGGGGATCTTCCTGCTGCCCAGAAATACAAGCTGTAAGACAGATCCATTTCTCCCACCTGCACTGCTGTCTTTTCTAGGATGTATCCGTATTGACTGTGATAACCAGGTGAATTTACTCTAATTGTTCAGTGAAGCTGCATTGCCTAGCCCTTAGGTTACTGTGGCAGGGCATCTGTGCTTTTCTGTTGTCTTCTGATTATTTGGCCTCACTCTGATTGTACTTACTTGAAGTGGATCAGGCCTCTTTAGCTGGATTTTGCTACTGTAGATAGAATAACATGAGTTTCATTTTTACTTCTGTTTTGTTTGACAGAAAGTGAAACGACCGACAGCGTTCCAAGTGATGAAGAAAACGCAGAGGTAAGTGCTTTTTGGATTGTTAGCAGTTCTGAGCAAATTCTCAAAAACAATGTCCTGAGTTATTCTTTCCCCTTCTCCACTTGCAAATGCGACTACCAGTGCAGTATTGATTTTAGTCATAGCTGGGGGAGAAAAACAAGCTAGGAAGGTTCAGGGGAGACAAACGTTTGGATGATTGTCTAGTGGAATTGATGTCTATGTGGCTTTCTCCTGATCTATCAAAACTACAAGGAGATTAATTCACCTGAGAAAACAGAATGCGTATTTTGGAGAACCAAAACTATCAGCAGCGCCAACTAGTTTACTAATATGGAGCAAACCAGCGGGCTTTGTCATGTGCATGTAAGTGTGTATACGGGTGTGCCCTTTATGCATTGGCTCTGCTGGGTGGTGTATTTTGTCTTTGTTGCAAGCGTACTCCTTTTGTTTTCCTTAAATGGCATGTGCACTCATACAATGGGAGGAAATGGCTACACGTGTGATAGAAATGCAATTTGAATGAGGTATGTGAGGCAAAAAGCTTTCCTGAGAAGTCAGTTGGGTGTTGCTGAATGAAAGGGATCCACGGAGAAAGTACTCATGCACCCCGTGAATGTTTTTTGAGCTGTGCCTTTGCAAAACCAGCAGCCCTGCCAATCGGCGTGAGTATTTAGAGGCTGGAGGAAGCTCACTGAAGACTGGACTTCAGCACTCAGGCTCCCTGCACTTCAGCTGCGTTTTTGCAAAAGCCTCTTGCCAATCCCTCTCTTGCTGCGTCCCCCTAAAACCCCTCTGAATCCTCCTCCTTGGAGAACTGCAGGTTGTGCAGTTGTTTAGCTGCATGGCTAACCCTCTTGGGTTTGTTAGTCATGTGTTGGTTAGGGTGGAGCCTGCATGCCGACTGCCAGTAATGGCATTTTCAATGACTGTCACATCATTGAAATTCTGCAAGGGACAGAAAAATAGGCCTTTAGTGGATAGAGGCCAGGTTAGCACTTGGCATCTGCTACCTGCTGCTGGTGCAGCTGTAACAGCTTTTCTTCCCCTGCCCTGTACCAGAGGGCTGTATGGGCTGTAATTTTTCCCTGCTTCCATGGGCAGATGAAAAACAAGCTCAGTGAGACTCCCCAAAAGGCTTTGTGTAGTCTGGAAGAGAGAGGGGGAGTGGGAATTCTCTAGCTCGCTTGGCTGGTCGTGGCTGAGGCAGTGAGTCCTCTGGCTCCGCACAGGCAGCGAAGACCCTTCTTCGACAGAACGTGCTGCTGTGGCATGCGTGATGGGGAAAGGAGCAGATGCTCTTCTATGCTTGGCAAACCTCACCCGTCACAATGGACGCACTATCAGGTGAAACAGGTTTTCCTGGCAGCCTTACCAGTTTTAGACGGTGCTATTTGAGAGGTGTGAAGTCTCTGTGGGTTGCCTATTGGCAGGAGGGTGCTCTCTCTGGTAATGGAGGAAACCTTTCCATTTGAAGCTCTGAGCTTTTTGGCATCTGTGTCTGTTTTTATCCTCAGCGTACTGAGAACAAGGCCTTCATTTTCCATCAGGAGAGTAGGCAGAGTGTCTTGAGTGCTGGAGAGCCAACAAAGTTAAGATACAGGACTTCAGAAAGAGAGAAGTGTCTGAGAGCAAAGACATACAAAGCCAGCAGCTAGAGGCTCAGGCTGTAGTGACAGGGTAACTCCTATGCAGTTTGTGGATGTGTCTGTATTCATCTTGTCTTTTGGAGCCCTTCACCAAGTCACGTTCACTCACAGAATCTGTCTTTCTTCTTTTTCTCCCCCTTTTTTAGGGACGACTTCATTGGCAGAAGAAAAACATTGAAGGCAAACAATATCTGAGCAATCTGGGAATGAGGAACACTTCTCATATGCTTCCCAGCATGGCTACTTTTGTAGCCAACAAGCCTGACCTCCAGGTCACCATCAAAGAAGAAAGCTGCCCACTGCCTTACAACAGCTCCTGGCCCCCCTTCTCAGACATCCCTCTGCCACAAGTAGTGTCCACAGCCTCCACTAGTAGCAGCCGACCAGACCGCGAGACACGGGCTAGCGTCATCAAGAAAACGTCAGACATCACCCAGTCGAGAGTCAAGAGCTGCTAAGCCATTGACGGTGTGTTTTTTAGCTTTGTTTTGTTTGGTTTTGTATTTTATGTTTCTCTAGGAGAGGTTCATCCCTTGACGCACATTAGACAAATCTAAGGTAAAGCCTTGGCAATATAAAACGTTGCTGTGTCCGACTCCAGTGCTGGAGTGTTTTTTAACTCAGGACTCCAGCCATCAGTATGTACACCTGAACCCAGACGGACTTCCAAGGTTACTACGTAGGAAAAAAACCAAGAACTTTGGCCCACTCGCAGGTTCCAGTGCTTCATAAGAGGACCAACTGACCACAAGGGAAGTGGTGCTGCTGCGCTTCTTGCTGTCAAGGCTGTGATGGAACTGAAAGCCTCAGAATGGAAGAGAAAATGTGAACTAGCTGGAATATTTTTAAATAAAAAAAAATCTATTGTGAATATTGTACATAGTGCAGTACTAGCAACGTTGCAGTCTGCTTCTGCACCTTATTAAGAAAGCACTTACGAAAAGCCTTTTATTACCTTGCTCTAATTAATGGCACATTGAAGGTCCCTCCCCACCTATATTCTTTTCCAAGGCTATTCTTGCTAAAGTGTCTTTAAAGAATAGAGGAAAGGAAAGGAAGGTAGAACTTCCCATGTGGATTTCATACATTTTAAGACTGCTTTTCTCATGTTTGTTTCTAATCTGCTATGCTTGAATGCCGCGTGGTACAATAGGAAGAAAAAAAAAAACTATTACAGAGATATTATGCAAATTCCCAGATTTAAAAAAGAAGAAGAAAAAAATACTCTAATTCTAACCAGAGCAAGCTTTTTTATTTTTTATACAGGGGAATATTTTATTCAAAGTAAAATTCTAAAGTGAATATAATTTTTTTTAATCTTTTCTACAGCAAATTTATAATTTTAAGATTCAGTCCTTGGTTATCAGCAGTTATTACATCCTTGTGGCACATTTTTTTTTTTTAATTTTGTAAAGGTGAAATAGCTTTTATGAGCTCATGTAGCAATCAGATTATCCTGTGGATTGATAATAAATATGGTATATAGTTAAATTTTTAATAATCCTCTTGTTTGTCTCTCTCTTTTAATCTTACAGAAGCCCCAGCTGGTATGGGTTTGATAGGTGAATGTGACCTCTCAGAATGAACAATTAGCATGGGCCTTCTTTACGATTTCTCCAGTGCCCATCTAACAAAATGGGAAGTACTGTGCTCACCAGAGGTGGAAAGAGGAACTAGAGCTTAAAGGCGACATACTCAAGTTTGGCCTCAAGTGCAGCAGGCTGGGAGTCGGGGAACCTCTTTTGCTGTTACTCTGTGGCTGGGTCTTGGGCAAGTCGCTTAATGGGAGGGATCTCGAGAAATGATTTAGTCCATCCCCAGCCCCAAGCAGTTTCAGCTGTGCTTGCCCCATTCCTGGTAGATATCTCTTTAGGTTGCTCTCAGTTGCCTTGTCTGTAAGATTCTCTTTTTACAGAGTTCCAAGCATTAACTCCTTATTAATGGAATGAATCAGAGGTCAAGTAAACATGCTTCAAGTAAGCATCCCCTAAGGCTTTCAACGTCCAGCACATGAGGGCAAGTTTTGATTCCTCTGGGTCTCTGAGGGAAGCTGTTGAGTATCCAAATAAGGGTGCGTGGGGGCTTGCTTGGGTGGTGGTGTGCAGGCCATGCCATTGATTCTTTGAGGGGCTGTACTCTGGGCTGTCATTGGCATTGGTAGAAGTTGAGACCGTTTAGCATCTTGCAGTTTTTCAAGCTGTTGGAAGCTAAAAGGATTGATCAAGGTATGCAAAATACGTAGACTTAGTGTTCCTCAGATGCGATTATCGTTCTAGTACTAACTAGACTGGTAGCCAGCTGCATAGCAAGTGCCACACATGTTTGGCTAGTAAGCTCTAACAGGCACAAAAATGTCTGTATCAAGGGGAGACATGCTAATTGGTTATTAAAAAGTGAAACCAAACAATGGGGTTGTGGGCACTAGGATTTTGCTGTGTCCTTAGCCTGCTATCATATCACAACCCCAAATTTTATCACAAATCCATCTGAAATGTCCAATTTTGTGTTACAAACCCGCTGCTCAGTGGCCTGGGAACGCAAAGGCTCCATTTGGTCTATGAGGAATATTTTGTCTTTGGGCAGAGCAGGGTCTCTTGAACTTTGGCTCACTGTGGGTTAGATTTTTGGTTAGGCTTGGGAGGAAGAGAAAACCTGTAGCAATACTTGAAGTGAAGCTGGAAAGGGGCTGCTGAAGTGTTGCACTCAAAATACTGTTGTAGACAAAGGGGAATACAACATATGTGGAGCTAAGAATTTACTAGTGATCTAATTAATGTTTTTTAACAGTCTAATAATCCCCATTATCTAATTAACATAAGAAAAACTCATAGCAGTTAAAGCTGTTAGGCATAAACTTTACAGTCTCTGCCCCTTTTCTTTGGTTGTGTGCTCACCCTTCCAATAGGTCCAAAGGCCAAAAGGTTCAGTCTTCCTCAAGAAGACTTGAGTGTGTGTGAGTGCATTTGTGTATGTGGGGGAGTCTCCCACATACTCCCACTCACTCACGGACAGTGAGTCTCCAGCATCCTGAGTCTTTTGCCACCAGGGGTGTGATGTTCATGGCAGGTTTAGTCTTCCTTGGTCCTGGGGTTCTCTTGGGACCTTCCTTTCTTAACACAATCTGTTTTCTTTTTTCTGACTTTCCAGCTGAAGTTTGAAAGTTGCTCTAAAGCCTCTCCCAGCCCCTTTTAACATAAAGGGCTATTGTTTGTTAGGCAATGACTTCATAGGATCACAGAATCACAGAAAATGAGGGGTTGGAAAGGACACCTGGAGCTCATGGAGTCCAACCTTCCCTTGAAAGCAGGGCCTCAGGTCATGCTGAGTCTTGAATACTTCCAGCAAGGCAGACTCCTACCACTTATCTGGGCAACCTATTCCAATATTTAATTGTTTCCACAGCAGAAGGATTATTTCTTTATATCCAGACAGGTTTTCCCCTGAAGCAACTTGTGCCTGTTGCTTCTTGTTCCTGTCTCCGCTCACCTGTGAGAAGAGAGCACTCACCACCTCTGTACCCACGATTCAGGTACTGGGAGACTCCTCAGCTCTCTGCTGAGCCTTCTCTTCTCTAGGCTGCACAAATCCCTTTCCTTCAACCTTTCCTCATGTGTCAAGTTCTCCAACTCTCAGATCATCTCAGTGGCCCTCCACTGAACTCTCTCCAGTTGTTCAGCTCTCTGTTGAACTGGAGGAACCAAAACTGGGCTTTCTAGCATTGCTAGGCCTTTCCCATATACAGCTGCACATGACCGCCAACTGTGGTTTATCACAGCTGAAAAAAGCTAAACCCAGCTCAGGTGAAAACAAGGCCAGACACAAGTCCAGAGAACCCGTGCTACCAGGTCCATTCAAAGCCTGTGATCTTTTACTAGAAAAGACCAAAAGTATATTTACTGCCTACAAAAGTAAACTGAGGGTTGATGTTAGAGTTCTCCCTTGAAGAATATTGAGTCTTTGGACAGAGTGGGGTTCCTGGCCGGCAGCTCACCCTCAGGTAGGGTTACAGTTAGAGTTACGCTTGGGAGATACAACTGGAGTGTGGCTGGAAAGCATCTCCCAAGGGAAAATTGGGCCTGGAAGAAGAATATCCTCAAAGGAATTTTTATTGTGGGGAAGGAAGATTTGGGAGTGCATTATTGAAGGCTCACCCTAGGGTTAGGTTTAAGGAAAGGAGAAAGTCCAGAGCTACAGTTGTATTGCAGCTGGGAAGAGGGTGCTAAAGTAAACAGAGGGCTGATGCTCAAATTCTCTTCTCAGGAAGGTTTACTGTGAGAAGGGAAGGGCCTGGAGTGGGACTGAGCCTAGGCTTAGGGTTAGGGCTAAGAGAAAGAGAAAGCTGAGTTGCATAGGGCTGGAAAGTATCATGTAATGTAAACGAAGAGCTGACATTTGAATTCTCTGAGGAATAGTTAGTCTCTGGATGGAGTGGGCTCTCTTGCTTCTGGCTCAGCTTGGGTTTAGTATTAAGATTTACAGTTGTGTGGGGGCTGGAAGGCCTCTTCCAAAGTAAACAAAGAGCTTTAGATTTCTGCTCTTCTGAAAGCAGGGTTTTTGTTTACCTCAGTGATGGCCTCTCTCCCCTCACCATTAAGTTTGGCTATGTAAAATGTTGGCACACATCTGTGGTCCTACAAGCAAGTTAGACGATGATATCCTGTGGATTATACATCGAAAAGAGGTGTGGGTTGTCCTTGTTTGTAGCAGTGATTAAAGCTCCCTGCCCCGCACCTGCATCACTTTTCCTTTGGGGCAAAATGTTGCAGCTTTTTTGGTCTCCTGGGGTCAGTAGGGTGCCCAGCAGGAGCTTGTGGGGTTGGGGCATGGCTGACGTCCCGGCAGGATGGGCCTCCAGCGTGGCTGCAGGAGGAGAGGAGGACTGAGCCATGTCCCCTGCCTGACTGCGGGTGAGAGTTGGAGCCTCTTGGCTTCAGCAAGCTCTGCTCATCACTTGGGTACGGAGCGGGGTGCCAGAAGGGCTGTCTGCGTCTCTCTAGGTATATAAATGTTTGTCTCCAAAGTAAACTGTCACTAGCCAGGAGAAGGATTTGCTGCTCTCAGCTTCAGTCATCTGAAAATTAATAGTTGATGGAGAACGGGAGCTCCAGTTTAAACTATCCGTTAACCTTTATGTAGCTAAAGCAAGTTTTGTGGTCGCATCTCACCTCTGGTCATTACATGTGACAGTCAGTACCAGCCGCCGGTGGTCAGACAACTTGGCTTGAGCTACCCTCATTTCTGTGAGGAAGGCAGCTCGGCTCACTTACTGCCAAAGCACTAACCCCAGGCTGCGTGATAGGAGGCACGTGCATCCTGCCGGGAATGATGTACATACTTGGTAAAGTCTCCCCAGGGCTCCTGTGTTTGAAGCTCTTCCAAGTGATACTCAAGGATGAGAGTTACTGTATGTATCCATAACGCTGTTCCATCGCAGAGAATATTTATGGTGGCTCGGAAGACGGCAATGTGCTTGTAACTTGCACAGACCAAAAGCAGTCGGACAAGTGCAGAATGATGTAAATGCAAAGGCGGACTTCTTAAGGACTAGGAAATCAGACGTTTACTCTGAAATACAGTGTTTGACTCCGTTTGTTATCCATGCTGGCAAAAATTACGCAAGGTCGTAAAAAGTCCTCCCGGCTCTCATAATGCAACCACCAATTTGGTTCTCAAAAGATGACTGTTTCTTGGTGAGTAATATCAATTTAATCTCTGTGCGATTTTGTGACGTGGTCAACAGACAAGCCTGAAGAAATCCCTGTGAGCGGAGGCAGGGAGGGTGCTAACGGCTGGGTTTTGCCCGAGCGGCTTGGCAGCCAGTGCACTGAGCCCAGGGCCGCACTGCCCCACGTGGAGGGTGCCTGGCCCCGCTCCGGGGACGTTGCAGCTGGAGAAGACTGATTTGCTTGGGATTTGGGTTGCTTGCTTGCCTCTTCCCGCCCTGTCTCCTTACGTGTTTTCTAGTCTTTAGTAACTAATGACTGCAGCAGCCTCTTCCTCAGTGAGGAACTAGTGAGAGCTGTTTTTCTATCCAGGCACCAGTTTTTACGAACTTGCAGGAACTTCTTATCTTTTAAGACACGTCCCCTTCTTTCAGAGCTGACTGATTGACGGTGACTGCAGAATATCAGAATATTTCAGGTTGGCAGGGACGTTTGGAGGTCCCTTACCCAGCCCCCTGCTCAAGGCAGGGCTAACTTCAGAGCACGATCAGGCTGTGTAGGGCCTGGGTCAGTCATGTTTTGGGTATTCCCAAGGGTGGAGACTCTGCTGCCTCTCTGGGCCCCTCTTCCAGGGCTCAGTGGTTTCAAAGTGACTAGGGCACGGTAGGGGACACAGGCAGACCCAGTCATGCATACAGTGTGATGACACTGACGGTATTTCCGTAAGGGGAATATATACCTGTATATGGGAGATGAGTATAGACTAACCAAGCGAGGGAAGCTAGACCCAGTCTGTTTGAATGGGATCTGTTCCTTTGCCCAGGAAAGCTAA